TTTTTTTTTTTTTTTTCTTTTTTCTGAACTACACCTCTGACCTACGCGGTTAGAGCACAAAAGCGACAAAGTATAAATAAAAGGCAATAACCGCCAGCAACAAAATATTGAAAACCACGGGAGCCACCCGCTCCCACCGACAAAGGTGTTCAAAGGAACAGAAAGACAGACGGACAGCCAGCGAAACCAGAAAAAAAACCAACGTAATTGAAACGTCAAACGTAAAGATTCTTTGACTCCGGGCGTGTCACAACCCTCCCGTTGACACGAGTCCTTCCACTCCTTTCTCTCTCTCTCTCTATTTTTTTCCGTCCCTGCTTCTTTTTTTTTCGTACAGATTTTTTACCTTTGACTTCTTTTTTCCTCGTTGTCGCTGGCCCGGACAGCCCCGCAGGGGGTTAAGTGGTCGAAGAGAATTTCGGTGGGATCTGCGGCCGTGCGGGACCACGGTCGCGCCTACCCGTGTTTCACGGCTAAATTGCCGTTTCGCGATTGGCAGCCCGTCAACGATTCGATGCTCGAACAGGCCTGACCACTGTTATCATTATACGTACGCGTATACCAGCAGGATGTCTGTGGTCAGTTGGTACACGACACCGAACCGCATAAGCCGACGTACGGATTTTTGTCATCGGGAGAACCGCCATTGCACATGATTCCCGGACCGGAATGACGTTTCGGTTGATTTCTGGGATAGAGAAGGGGCCGGCTGTGTGCCGACACCGGTGAAAACCGGGAATCGACGAAAACGATATTGCTCCAACCGACATTGCTGCAACAGAGCCAGAGTTACATCGGTTTCGCCATCGGATCATGTTTCGACAGCATTTCCACTTGTCGTTCGGAATGCTTGTTACGGGAAGGAGGAGTTGACGTGACGCGGTTTTGTCCCGCGGAAATGAAAGGTTCCCATTCGATTCTTTGTAACGGAGGTTGAAATTGAAATTGGTCCAGGCCCATAGTTCGCGGCGATATTCGACATCTGTTCGGCAAACGTTCGAGATCTCAAGTATAACAGAGTCGTAAACGCG